AAATAGTGTATTGGTAGTACAAAGGATTCCCATGTATATTCCTCTGCTCGCCCCCTAACTTTCTTTCCTTCTACTATTAATATTTTTGCTAGTGTGGTACATTGTTACAGTTAGCCAACCACTTTTGAATATTAAACAAACACTCTTTAAAGATTTTTTAAAATTGAATGTGGTGTGTGTGTGTGTGTGTGTGTGTGTGTGTGTGTGTGTGTGTTTAGTACCTGTAGAAGGCAGAAGGGTCATTAGATCCTCTGGAACTGGAGTTACATGCAGTGTGACTCCCCACGTGGTGATAGGATCATTTCCTTCAAATTCAGTCTCCCCTAATTACATACTCTTCTCTTGACTCCAGCAAGTTTCTTTTCCTTGACAGATAAGAATATCAATCCTTCTATAGTGACTTCTTTGAGTTTATTTTCAGAATGGAGTTAAGGGAGGAAACAGATAATGTATGTACAACAGAACCCACATTTTTAAATCAGGAATGTAATGTGTGCCAGGTAGGTAGGGTGTGTGTATTGAGAGAGAGGATAAATATATCTCTCTCATCACAAGATAAACATTATTCCAAAAATTCCTCTGTTCCCATTAGTGGCTCTTTCTGAAGTTTCAGTTACCATCAACTGCAGTCTAAAAATATTAAACTGGTTCAAACTGGTGGCGATCACCTTTAATCCCAGCACTCAGGAGGCAGAAGCACGCAGATCTCTGAACTTGAGGCCAGCCTGGCCTACAAGAGTAAGTTCCCAGATGTTCAGTGCTACACAGAGAAACTCTGTCTTGAAGAACCAAAAAGGAAAGAAAGTTCTAGAAATAGACAGTTAATAAGTTTTAAATTTTATTACAGTATATTGTTACCTGTTTTATTATTGCCATTTCTCTTCTGTTATTATTCTCAATCTGTTATGATTGAAAGTTAAACTTTTTGTACATATGTATGCATACATAGGAAAAATATACTGTTATGTAGAGTTTATATTAACAGAGGTTTCAGGCACCCACCAGGGATCTTAGAATATATTTCTCACAGAGGGAGCTACTGGGCTGGCAAGATAACTCAGCCAAGCAAATAAAGTGCTTGCCGTGCAAATTTGACAGCTTAAGTTCTATCACCTGAACCGATTCCCAAACTATGTCCCCTGACCTCTACACAAGTGCCATGGCGTGCGCGCGCGAGTGCGCACACACACGCGCGCACACACACCTGTACATGCACACATAATTAGAGTAATAATCAATTGAAAAGAAAGAGAAGGCTGCTATCTACTCAGTTTAATGAGGGGAAACAGACGTTAAATTAGCAATTAAAAACAAGGAAATCATGAAATTTGCAGGCAAATGGTGGGAACTAGAAAAGATCATCCTGAGTGAGCTATCCCAGAAGCAGAAAGACACACACGGTATATACTCACTTATACATGTATATTAGACATATAGTATAGGCTAAACATACTAAAATCTGTACACCTAAAGAAGCTAAGCAAGAAGGAGGACCCTGGGTAAGATGATCAATCCTCACTCAGAAAGGCAAACAAGATAAACATTGGAAGAGGGAGAAAACAGGAAACAGGACAGAGGGCCTCTGAAAAATGCTACCCAGCAGGGTATCGAAGCAGATACTGAGTGCAGGGAATCTTAGGAAAGAAAGGGAAGAAAGACCTAGAGGGGACAGTTGCTCCACAGGGAGAGCAACAGAACCAAAAAAATCTGGGCAAAGGGGTCTTTTCTGAGACTGATACTCCAACCAAGGACCAAGCGTGGAGATATCCTAGAGCTCCTGCTCAGATGTAGCCCATGGCAGCTCAGTATCCAAGTGGGTTCCCTAGTATTGGGAACAGGGACTGTCTCTGACCTGAACTTAGTGGGTAGCTCTTTGATCACCTCCCCCTGAGGAGGGAGCAGCCTTACCAGGCCACAGAGGAAGAAAATATAGCCAGACCTGATAGGCTAGGTTCAGATGAAAGGGGAGGAGGACCTCCCCTATCAGTGGACTTGGGGACGGACATGGGAAGAGTTGAGGGAGGGAGGGTAGTATTGGGAGGGGATGAGGGAAGGGGCTACAGCTGGGATACAAAGTATATAAACTGTAATTAATTAATAAATGTTTAAAAGTTAGTTGACCAAAGGATGCACATAGCTAGTCATTGGCTCATAGCCATGTGTGCTGCCCTCCGAGTGTGTGCCATGTGATTGGAGTCTCACCATTCATTTAGCTTTGCTGTCCCCATCATATCAGGAATCATGGGAGTGTGAGGAGAATGGTGTCTTTCAGCCCTGTGTGTACCCTGAACACAGCCAGTACCCTGCAATGTACAGGATCCATGGGAATGTGTCCTGTGAGAGTTACTAAACACCAGCATCCATTCCATACAGGAAGCACTTGTTGAGTCCATGCTCTGGACTCCCAGCATGAGATCATGAAGAGCCAGGTAGGTGATGACAATTGACCATGCAGCACCAGGGAGGCTGTTTTCTCTGTGACGAGAACATAAGCTGCAAGAGAGTAAGACTGTTTGGTCCCTAGCAGTTCCCAGGACACTATCTAGTAATAATACTTGCTCAATAAGTATTTGTGGGCTGGATGTTGGAATACTGTTGCAAACTTGGGCCCCCTAAACTGGCAGTGTGCTTGTCAGCACTTTGGTGTGTCTGTGCATTCTCCTTCTCTAGACTGGCAGGTCTAACTTCTCTATGCTTGGTTCTGGCTGTTTGCAAGTTATTCCAGGCCTGGGCCTAACTGTACTCTGCACCAGCACTTTAGACAAATGGGGAAACAGAAGAGTGGCCTTGTGTCTGCCAGCCCCAAGAGCTGAAGGGCAGGTGGCTCTTTCCGGAGCTCCCTGGCCTACTATCTGAACTTCACACCTAATGATTGCCTTCTTTTCCTTGAGTCCAGAGTTTCAAATGTCCTGTGAGGAAGGTTATGCATTCGAATATTTTCATCAATATTTCTCAGAAATACTAATCTATTTCCCGTGTTCCCGTGCAAGCTTTTCTTCTCCTTTATCTGCCTCATCGTCTCTTTTTCCTTCCCTGCTCCACTCTCCTCTGCTTCTCTGACTTGTGCTTAATTTGTATGGCACCGCCCCTGCAACTTGCTTATGTCTACCAGGTTTGCCTGCCTGCACCTCTGTGGACATTTGTCAGGTGCAGACAGATCACTTGCTGTCCTTGGTGAGTAACTAGGATCACAATTGTTGTCCTGGTGTGTGCCCAGAGTGACAGAATTGATGGGCCTGTAGGCTGACATTCATAAGCCAGAGCTACCAAGCGTTTCAAAAACAGTCTTGTTTTTGCCAACCAAGGTGAGCAAATATAGGCCAGAGCTTAAACATCCACCAGGGGTTATTTCTGAAGTGATTGCTTCTAAATGAGAAGCATTTGAAACCTCACGGTTCTCTTGACAAGTAAATTCCACAGTCCTGTGTTTTGCTGGTGTCTGCTGATTAATTACAGCGCTGTGACACATGAAAACCCTGGTGGTTGGTTTAGTGCAGCTGTGGAGAAAAGAAAGCAAGGCCCAGTGACTTTGCCAGCTCTTCCGGGACAGTGGGGATGGAGGCCGACGGAGGTATTTTTCCCTCTGGCAGTCACCACATAAGAACAGAAGCCCCAGCCAGCCCAGTTCTTCAGGCTCTACGCCGGGTGGTTTGGTCCCTGCAGGCTGCGGTTAGGGAGCAGCATCTGATTGGGTGATCCTGAAAGAACAGGTCCTTTGTTAGAGAAAGTGTTTCAGTGTTCATACAGGAGCTGAGCGCACACTCCTGTATACTCTTGCTTCAGAAAAAGTTACACTGGGCATACACCTGTAGTGCAGTATTCAGGGGTCAGAAGCACGGAAATGGACCTGTTCAAGGCCAGCCTCAGCTACATAGGGAGTTTGAGACCAGCCTGGACTATTTGAGTTCTTATCTCAAAGTAGGGATCTGGACATGTGACTCAAGCTTGTAATCTCAGCATTTGGAAGACTGGGAAATAGCACTGTGAATAAAGTGCTTGCATATGGGGTTATTTAAGAGCCCACATAAAACCAGATGTGGCAGCTCATGTGTCTGTACTCAGCACTCCTCGCAGAAGATACAACAGAAAAGAAAAGAAATAATACTAAAATACATTTTTTTTTAATTCTTAATGTGTTCATTTGTACTGTGTTTCCTTCATCCTCATCTTATGTAGATGATGGAACTCAACCAAAGGAGTTGTCTGCCATGAGTCTTTCAGGCCAGAAAACTTTATCTACCCTCTGTCTCGTTCTTCCCCAAAGACTTGTGCTCCTCACAGAGACAATATGGGTACCATTGCTGAGTAGGGGTCTACAAACATTTGCTCATGGTCTGGGTTGCTTGTGTGGTCAAACAGTGCCACCATCCTAAATAGGAATGCTTGAGCAATACCAGGACCTGTCCTTTCTGCTTTAATTCTGGCATAGAATTGCCATGTAAGTGTCAAAAGTGTGTGCCACATCTGATTGCTGCTTCTTATGACTGCCAAGGAAAAGTCTGACGGTTGTTACGGATCCCACTTCCCACTTCTGCACAGGTGTGCTGTGCTCTACCTCCCGAATCAGCCCACACTGTCCTAATGAACCCGGACTTGAGTCTAAACCACTTACACTAAACCACTATTCCTTTCTATACAAAGACTTAGAGTTTAGTTTCCTGTAAGACTGCTGACATAAGGTAATTACACTTCTTCGCTGAGCTCAGTGTATAGGTTGTTTCTACTAAGAAGCTCTTGAGGAAGATGATTGTGTGGTCACAGTGTTCCCCAATCTGGGGAATTATGGCAGTAACCCAGAGCACCGGTTTGGTCAGATCCTGGGCTTCTCACCCCTTCAGCATTTTCCCCAACCTGCAGCTTTCAGCATGCTTTCCTGTGGAGACTAGAGTCTGTTTCCTTTAAGAGGGACCATTTTAAGGAAATCTAAAAGAGAGGACCTGAGCATTTATGAAAAATCCATTTTCACAGCAGAGTATTCCTTTTTCTCTTTTCTGGTTCAGGTTTTTCATTTGTTACAAGCCTACGTTACAGACCCCAGACACAGAACAAATGCAGATTTTCAGCAGGAGCTGAGTGACGTCACTGTTTGTATCAGAGCCAAACTCTGGCTTGCCTTGAGGTATGTAAAAGCCCCACATGAGGAGGCGAAGTCGTCAGGTTAGTGGTGTGCTTGAGAATTGCTGTTTCTAGTGGTAAGGAGTTTTAAGTTATTCACATGAGTTCCCCCAGACTTTTTGGGGTATTTTAGACCTTTGCATTGTGGTATAGAAAGTATTTTCTCGACAATTTTTCTAAATTGCTGAGAGTTTGGGTGGGGATTGGTAGGGTTCAACAGTCAGCTGTTTCTTGTTCTCACCACGTACCCAACCCTATAAACATAGTAGCTACAAATGGCAGCAGTTGGCTGGTCTTCACCGCACAAACCCTGAGAAGCCATGGCAGCTAAAGTTAAAGGTTCTTGGGTGACTGAGCAGGCACTAAAGGGAAGGTGGGACTTGAGTGGGAAAGAGAGGTGAAAGTTGTTGTGGGTAGGTGGGTAGTAGAATAGCATGTGTAAGCAGAAGCAGAGTGGGTACTTTTTGTTTTGTTTTGTCATTTTTACTAGTGTTTGTTCTGGAATTTAGAATATAAAGGATGAAAGAGTAAAAACAGTCTCCCATTTTATTATATGTAGAGAAAACTGTAACACTGTGTTCAGAATCTTTGTTTAGGCCCCGAGATACTGGTAGGACACTGTCCCCTTCAAGGCCCCTGTATGAGTTAACTCTGGCCAGTGTTATTTCAGATGGCCATGTAAAATGATGCCTCCATGAGGCAGAGGGAACTGGGCAGGCCAAACTGAAAGTGAGAGGAGCTGGTGGTGGGTGTGCTGGTAGGGTGTGTAATACTTAACTCTGGGCAGGGGCATTGAGGGGTGCTCTCTGTCTGAAGTGCCACTGAAGTTATAGAAGCTGCTAAATGGTTCCCCTAAGCCTCATGCCACTTACCTTTTATGCAGCCCTGGTGCCCTTAGCCTCTAAGACACTTCCTGGGAGAACAGAGACTTGGGGTCACATATGTGCCTTATAACAGGTGAGGTCTTCCTAGCTGTTATTCCTGGGCATCAGGAAGTAGAGGTTCTTCGGGAATTATCTGCTGAAACCTTTTTCCAGCCATAACCTCTACAAGAATCAAGCTTTGGCTCTTAAGCTCCTATAAAGGCAGAGTTTCTACCCCTTTGCTTAGGCTCACTGGAAGTTATCGCCCACCCTCTTCCTCAGTCCATTCCTTCTTGTTTCCTGAGAAAGAGAAGATGGAGGAACAGGCCAGCCCTTGATGGACTTCATTTAGCTCAGTGCCTGAAGATGGCTGACAAAGTGGTACTTCTACCCACTTGCTTTTCAGCTGGAGAAGGCCTTCCTGCCTTAGGAAACATCTGAGATGGTCCCTGTCACTATTGTCTGATCAACCCTTTCGTTGTCATGAGTTTTTCCTCTGATTTGCTTAGCCTTAGCCTAGAAAACAAAGCCATGAATTACATCCACTCACTGGGTTTCCACCTCTTTGTCCAGACTACAGGAAAGCCACTTTTCAGTTTCCAATACAGTCAACTCTCTATTATCCAAGGGTGAACTTTCCACTCAGTGGGTGGTCTGTGGAGGCTCCTAATGCCAGGCTTCCTCTTACTCCCCAAGATACATTTTTATAAGTATTAATCAGGGTATGTTCAAGCCTAGAATAGAGTTTGTAAGGAAATCCTGCTGCCAAAGCACAGTACATTCCAGGGCTTTGCAGGAACCATCTGTATTATCCATGTCACTGAGGAGTACCCACACGCTGTGAGTTGGAAACCATAGCACACCATGGAGGTAATGAAACCATGACCTACCCCATCCCTGCCTTGTCTCTGAGGGCCTCTTGCTCTGGAAGGTATTTGTCTATACCAGTTCACTTGAATGCACAGATGAACCCATTTAGGGTCATGGTAGTTACCTCAAAGTAAATCCTTTTTCACTTTTCTTCCCTGCTTTGCCATGAAGATGTTACAGTGCCAAGTATTCCAAATTCAGCTGCTGAAGAAGCCCTTTATGTTCCTGTTCACTTACACGTGACATAGAAGTATGCCTTGGGCTCAGTGAGGACTCTCTCTAATGTAACCTATGAGAAATTACTGTTGCTGGGAAAAGAAACTGCTGGTTTAAGTTCTAGCAGTAACACCCTTTTCCCTTCTATAGTTTATTTGATCATTGATTTCATTCAGTCCAATAAGCTCAGGGATTTTAGGGGATGTGTCATTTATTTGTCCTTTTGTTTGAAAGGTTTCTTAAAGAAACTTTGGAGCTATGGCTATCAGTTGAATTTTAAAATTTGGACTCTGAAGTTGAGAGCACATAAAAACTTTTGTCATATCTTCGTGTTTTGACTTTGCAAGATTAATAAGGACTTATTTATAGGAGCTGGTTGAGCAGTATGCATGGAGTTGTTGGACTTTTACATGACAAATGGCCAGCTGGCAATGTGGGTTGAATAAAGGCCTACGCTTTGCTCTTATAGGCCACTTCATTCCAGGATGTCAGCCCCTTTATGGAAATCAGCTCATTAATCCTTCAAGTCCCTTCGTTCTCCCCGGTCCTTAGACTTTGCTTCTCAGTTCAGTTCATCATCTTTCTCCTGCTGTGAGGGTGGTGGTTACCAACTCTTGGCAGAAAACTCAGCCAGCCCAGGTCAGGAGACCAGTGAGAATTAGAGTGAGCCTCTTAGTCTGAGAAGGTTGTCGAGGGTGCTGCAAGAGGATGGAGTCTAGTCCCCAAGGGTGGTCCTGCCTGCTGCCCTTGCTATCTGCAAGCTGCAGCTCTGCTGTCCTAGCTGAGTCACAGGTCCTGCCCAAACAGGAAAGACTTTGAAAAGCTCTTTCAAGCAGGACTAAGAGGAGGAAAAGGCTTATTTACTTTGGTTGTGATTTGGGATTGCAATTATATTGGGCTTAAAATTTGTCAGAAGTGGTTTGTTATCTTGTGTTTTCTTCAGTCATAAAAGACTAAATATGTATTGAATGTTTCTTTTAGAAAACTTGATGACATACACCATGTGTGTTGGTATATATCTGTTAATCCTACTACTTAGGAGGGACTGAGACCAGAGGACTGTTGCAAATTTTAGTCCAGTCTGAAACACAGTGAAATGGTTTAAAAAAACAAAGCAAAACAAAAAACCAAACCGATAAGGGAAACTTGATGAGCTGTGTACTGTTAGACTCATTGGAGTGGATGATATGAAGGCCAAAAGGAAACATATATATATTTACTAAGCTTCTTTCATGTTTTTCCTTGGCTATCAGTGCATAAAAAAAAAATGCTCTAGTACAAATTTGAAAAAAATAAACATATAAAAGAAATCTACTTTGACCACAGCCCAATGGAAACCACTGTTTTTGGTTAACAGTTTAATGTGGTTACTTCATCTTTTTTCCTTTTTTTTTTTTTTTTTTTTTTTTTTTTACATAGCTAAGGTTTTGTTAAGTATAAAAGTTATAGCTTCCTTCTTTCATTTGGCTATATGAAAGTATTTGCTGTTATTCTTTAAAACTTTTTATGGCTACTGTGGAAGATAGTATCACACTTCCTTAAAAATTGAAATAGAATTAGTATATAATCTTACAGGTCTCTTTCTAAGTATACACACACATACACACATATACACACACACTGAAGGCAGAGACTTAGATATTTGCTTATAGCAACACTCTTCCTGGTAGCTAAACCACAGAAGCAGCAATACTCACTGCTGACAGTATTAGCAAAATATGCTATATATACATTCAGTGACATTATTCCATCTTTAAAAGAAAAATTCCTTGTTGTTTAGCTTTTTTAAGTCTGTAGATTTTAGTATGGCTATCCTATATTACACAGCTATTGGCTAATATCGGCTTATAAGTGAGTGTATACCATGCATGTCTTTCTTTTTCTGGGTTACCTCACTCAGGATGATCTATTCTAGTTCCATCCATTTGCCTATAAATGTCATGGTTTTCTTGTTTTTAATAGCTGAGTAGTGTTCCATTGTGTAGATGTGTCACAATTTCTGTATCCATTCCTCCACTGAGGGACATCTAAGTTGTTTCCAGATTCTGGCTATTACAAATAAAGCTGCTGTGAACAGAGTTGAGCAAATTTCCTTGTTGAATGGTGGGGCGTCTTTTGGGTGTATGCCTAGGAATGGTATAGCTGGATCTTGAGGTTGTGCTATTCCCAATTTTCTGAGAAAGCACCAGACTGATTTCCAGAGTGGTTGTAGGAGGACCCTAGGGAGGATACTTAAATCTCATTCAGAATGGCAAACAGGATAGACACCAGAATCCATGGAAGAGAGGGAACAGGATGGGAGCCTACAGTCCTCTGAAAGGCTCCACCCAACAGGGAATTGAAGCAGATGCTGAGACTCACAACCAAACTTTGGGCAGAGTGCAAGGAGTCTTATGGGAGGCGGGGGGTAGAAGGACAGAGATGGGACAGGAGCCCCACAAGGAGACCAACAAAGCTAAAAAAAATCTGAGCCCAAGAGGTCCTAAAGAGACTGCTGCACCAACCAAGGATCACGCATGGAGAAGACCTAAACCCCTTGCTCAGATATAGCCAATTGGCAGCTCACGCTCCATGTGGGTCCAAGTAAGGGGAGCCTTTGTCATAAACTTGGATACCTGCTCTTTGATCACTTGCTCCTGGTGATGCGGCCTTGCCAGGCCACAGAGGAAGAGGATCCAGGCAGTCCTGATGAGACTTGATAAGCTATGGGCAGATGGCAGAGGAGGAGAACTCCCCCTTTCAGTGGACTAGGGGAAGGGGGTGGGGGAATGAGGAGGAAAAGACTAGGAGGACTTGAGGGAGGGACTTCAATCAGGATATATAATGAATAAATTATAAAAAATAAAATAGTAACAACAAAAAAGAAAAGTTTCCACCCCCAGTGCTAGGGATTGAACCCAGGACTTTGCACACTGTAGGCCAGTGCTCTACCAGCAGCTGTATCCGAAGCCAGCAAGGAAGATCTGACCATGCCGTAACATGGCAGTGCCTCAAGAGTGTCAGGCTGAGTGCTCATTCATAGACACAGCAAGTAGAGTGGCCACTGGCAGCATGT